CACCGTCATAAGCTCTGTGTCAAGAGGAACAGGTTATAATTAGGTGTCTGTCACTTTCTTTCATAGCATAAAAAGCCATGCCTTTGTAGGTCTTCAGAGAGTAAACCCCCACAAAATACCGGTTACAAGAAAATCTTATGCACACCAGCAACAACCGTTGGAGTACTTTTCAATACTGTACCTCTAAAACAACACTTCAGAAGAACTCCACATTCGGTATGAAGTCCGTTCTGAGGTAGACACGTCAAACAGGAACAGGACTTTATCCCTGCATCTTCCAGTTGCCTAACACCGGTCTGCATGCTTCAGCTTGTTAAAATACCATAAGCTTTCATCAGACTGGCAATTCTATTCTATGTAGTAAATAGAACAGCCACAGAATTGTGACACTCAAAGCTTCCTCCATTGGATAAATTGCATATGCTAGTATGTTATCACTGGAGCATCTCATACAGAAGAACGGGTTGTTGGCTGCCATAAATCTGCAAATCTTCATAGAAATTAATGTAGTCATTTGCATTTGCTGCACTAAAGATCTAGCCTGGACATAAAACTTTTAGATTGCCCTCTTTAGTTGACCACCTATGTGGACACTACAAAAAAAGGAAAAAAAAAAAAAAACACCCTAAAATAAATGGCTACCACCTGCACACAACTGCAGAAAGGATTTCGTTGGCTGTAATAGCAGAAACTGGCTTAACATTTTGGCAAGGGAGCAGGACAGAATCAAACTATACCACATACACGTGATGATGTCTAATGCATGTTTACATAATACAAGTAATTTCTGAATTGTGGAACCACAAGAAAAACGTACCGAGTTGGATTAAGTTCACTGGAGACTACATGTATTCGGGGCTTTTGTTGTCCATGCTGTTGGGATCCTTGTCAGCTATAGAGATCTCAAGATTTGAGTGGCAGAATCTGCCTCTTGCTAACGATTACCGTTCTGCTGTCACGTCATTTTTGTTTGCTAACAACAATCCCTTAACCCCTGAGATTCACTGATTCTGCAGATGTAAGTCTCCCCAAGTTACTCTCAGAAACAAGGGAACCGGTTCTTTACATTTTTCTCAGAACAATTATTAATAAACCAAAGGTGGTTTGATTTCAACACTAGCGTTACAAATAAGCATGGACTAAACAGTATTACTACCTGGAGACTGTTGAATAGTCTGTAAAATGATTTGGGCATTTCGACCAAATATTACAAGGTTGCAGATATATCACATATGCTGTCCTATGTAATACAAATGAACAGCGTCCATGACAGCTAAGGCCTTAATGCAACAAAACACTTCATTCTCTACAGAGGGACTATTCTTGTACCTAAAGCTAAGTAAGTACTTAAGTGTTATTTGAATCAGGACGTATCTTGGTAAAGAGAACATATTAATGTGAAGCCTGAACTAGCTTTTATTCTTAGGTTAACTCTGATGATCTGAAGACCTTGCAAAAGTGTTTGTGCCGTTAAGCGCCTGAAAGATAAAATTCTGTTTCCTGTAACGTCAGAAAAATCTCTCTTGCACATATTTACTGGATGACTCCTCTCCGAGCTCCTTTTTCAGGCATGCAACATCAATTTTTCTCTCTCAATGAAGCAGGTGCAGTCAAACACTTGTTCATTTCATCGTATCTTCTTTAACAAAAATCATTGTAAATACACTCAGTTCTCTATGCACCTCTGAAAGCTTTTTAATAAGTTAGGGAAACCGCAAAGGAGAAATTACAGCAGAATGGCTTCACTACAGAGTCTAATTACAACACTCTTAAGTGCAGTGCCACTTTTGGTCATGCACTGACGTCCACACAAAAGAAGCACTGAACATAAGAGAAAATGGTGAAGAATACCTGTCTTGTGCACACACAAAATATAAATGCTTCTTAGATCACATGCTCTGCTGTGGTCTAAGTAAAAGGGAGAGAAAAGGTAACAAGCAGAGCTATGCAAAAAACTGTATTCTGCACAGCCAAAAACCTCTAACTTCTTCTGGCAAGCAAACGCAGCAAAAAATAGAAAAATACCATGTTTGCCAAAATCTTCTCCCTCCCACAAGTTTTTCTGATCTAGATCTATGAGACCGATTGTTTTGGATAGTTTTTTGTGAGGATGGTACTTGAGGCTACTTATCGAAATCATCTATATAACAGATTATCAAACCTTCAAAGCTGTTCAGAAAATAGCAGAAGAATTAAGCAAGTTAGATAAATACGTGCAGATGAGGAGGACACAAAAAAAAACACAAAAAGAAGAATATTAAACATTACCAAATCGAAAAACAAAGATCCATCTTAGAGCAGATGATTTACAAAGAACAGAATTGAAGAAGCAGAAAATCTACTCACTAGAATAAATATTTTGAGCTGCTGAGTTAAAAACAAAATAAAACTCATACCACCTGTCACTGCTTCGTGTTAAATGCTCACATACAGCCAAAGGCCTTTTCTTTTTGAGAACTGTACTTGCAGTTAATTGATCTAAAGCAATACAAGGGGGAAAAAAGAGTATTTACTATAATTCCATTTCTAAGAATACTGCACTGTTCTCACCTACTGAAAAATAAAGCATGTCCTTCCAACTAGTCAGATCACTGGTACTCCATCTCACCAAAAAAGGGAAGAGATAAGAGTTTAAACACAAAACCCTCTGCAGGAGATGTAAGCAGGAAAAGTCATCTTTACATTCGTAAGGTAGAAACATGTTCCCAAATCTGTGACAGATATGCAAGTTAGCTAGCTTTACTCTAACCAAGAGAGCCAAAAATTAGACAAATCAATCTCTGTTTCTCTCCGCCTTGCTTTCATCCTTACAGATTTTAAAGCATTGTGACTGAACAATTTCAAGACTAACTTAAAGGTACAGAATTGGCTGCAGTGCAGTCTTATGACCCCAGAACCTGTATAATACACATTTTGTTCAACTGGATATATTACAAACCCCATACAAGTTTGATTACCCTCTCTATGCTTCTAGTAGACTAATGGGACATAAACCTGTGATCATGCACTACCACGTTAAGTTCTGTCTCACAAAAGCTGAAGCTGAGATAAAATAGTTTTAATTTGCCTCTTTCAGTGAAAGAGTCTATAGAGGTACACTTGTTTTGGATTAAGGATTTTCTGTTTGATTCATCATTAGCTTTATGGGATTTACAGACAAAATTGCTGGTCGTTTGAAAAGCTCTGCACCTATTTCTTTTTTTAAAAGTCTCAGTACCTTAGTTACCACTTTTGCAAAGCAAAAATCAAAAACCATTAAGAGCAAACTATGATAATCAAAGTAAGTATAAAAGTAATTTTTGTGATACACTCTTCTAGCTCTTCTATTTACTCTAATTCTTATAACTAGTTACTTTCTGAGGGCTGCTGAAATTCATTTTTTGTCTATTATGATTTTATAGCATGAACAGCAAAAATGAAGTACAAGGATATACTGTACCTTGTTTTACCTGTAAGGAACACACACCTGACAAAAGGCAATCTTCACATCCAGGGTAGGTTCACCACAAAAGTACAAGAAATGGCGGCTCATAAATACCTGCAACGAAAGAAAAGTAAACATAAACATCTAGTCTGTGGTACAGATGTGCAAGTACAGTAGTGCAAGTACAGGACCGCTCCGTCTACTTTTGGGTTATAAAATCAACCTGAGTCGGTACCCAGCTCTTCAGTAACAGTACAGAACTGTACAGAACACTGGACTGGCAATAAGCTCTGAAGTCTTTCTAATGCTGGTGAAGGTTATAGCCTTAAATATGACTTGATTATACCAGTAAAACTACATAGTAACTGGAGTCACTAGCGCTAAGTTGATCTTGCAACTTGTATATTCCGGCATCATCAAAATCAGTCCCATGGAGTTTGATACAACGCGGGAATGGGAAACTGCATTGTTATTATTATAGGGAGGAAAAATAACCCAAATTCTAAATTGGCAATTACTAGAAAAATGGTAGAAAACAGAGAGCACAATTTTATCACTGTATAAATTCATGACACAACTACTTCATGAATATCACGTGTAGTTCCGGCCCTCATCTTAATAAGAGTATCTTAGAACTAAAAAAGTTGCAGAAAAGGGCAGTAACAATGCTCCAAAGCACATACGGATTCCGTCCATGAAACGGCTCTACAAGCTGAGATTTTTCAGCCCAGAAAAGAACTGTCTGAGTGGGTATATTTTAGAATCCATAAAATTATGAGCGGCATACTGAAAGTGAAAAGGAAGACAGCGTTTCTTTATTTCTTAAAACAAGTAGATGGCATCAAATTAAGTTACAAAGCAGCAGGTCAGGATAAGCAAAAGGAGAGAATTCTTCATACCCTCCTTCGTCAGACCGAGAAACCTCAAGCTGCTGTGGATGTCAGAAGTTGACATGAATTCTAATGTAATTAGGCAAATTCACGCAAGGAAAAATCTACTGAAGGCTATTAATCTCAGAAATACCCTGAGACTCAAGAAGATCCTTGGTCACACACTGCCGCTACATGCTTATCCTATTTTTTATACTCTTTATCAGGCATTCTACACTGGTGAAGAAAGGCTGACAGTGGAGTGGACAGGCCTCCCTCTGCACCCCATTACTGCTGTTTTTACTTTCTAACTCCAGAGCACCATATTCAGCTCTGACTGATCAGCCCCTCCACAGCAGCATTCTAACATGGGACACCAATGAGAATAAACACAGAGATGACATCAGGCTAAATATGTTATTTATAACACATCACACTGGAACGTGTACTGATTTTTCTGCATGACCCTACTTTAGCAAAGGAAAACTTGCGGCAGTATAATTTAAAAATCTGCAATTTTTAAATAAAAGGAGATAAATAATTTAGAACTTGATGTTTTCTTGTAAATATAAGCTTACTGCAAAAGGCAAAATAGCTGAGAAACGCAACCATCGCTTCAGTAAGATATAGCCATGATTCTAAAACTTTGCTTGCGTTCTTATGGCCCTGTAATACTGACTTGCACGCAACAGGAACTATTAACAAACTTCTGGTGTAAATGCCATTAAACAGAAAAGACTTCAATGGGAATAACTCCAACCTGCACAAACTGACCAGGACTGAAGAAACTACAAGCAAGTATCCACCAATACTCGCAGCCTTGACTGTATCATGTGCTCCCATGTGTGTTTAATTTTTAATGAATGAATGAATAATCCTGTTACGAAACAAGTGCATGACCTTTTTAGCATCATGTTACAGTTTCTGAGATCACTGCCTCATCGCTCAGTCAGTCATTACTGGAGCCTCACATTCCACAGAGGGTTTGTACTAAAATGAGGAGGAGGGAGAAAGAAGAAAAGAGCTTTCAACATTAGTCCTACTCTCAGTGATTTCTGAAAAGGCAGCAGGTAATTATGCTCTCACACTGCAGAGGTATACACTATAAAACCCTATTGGCTGGATGCGTTCGATTGATATAATAATCAGTGGCTGAAATGTCGCCAGTCATAACATACCACATTCAAGACAGACTCGAAAGTGAGGAAAGGAAGGGAAGGCAATTTGGGAAATTTGGCTCCTCACTCAATTTGCTGCAAGCCTCTACCGAGAAGGCACTTTATATTACGTCTGCATTACTACTAATATATAGCTCCTCAGTTCTCCACAGGAGTGACCGTAACTGTTCATAGACACCCTTAGCCAAGTAGCAAACTGGCAGATTTTATGAACTGGAATACATTTTGCAATTTATTATGCTGTCCTTGTATGCAGTTACTGTTTATAAAATAACCTAAGTATGATATGCTTTAACGGCCTAGATCAATACTCATATTCCTCTGTACATGAGATATATCAAATTCATCACTGGAGACAGAATTCTCACAAAGAATGAGAATACGTTTCTGCAGCAGAGAGGCCTGTAAGACTAAACTCAGGGCAAAAGAGATTAAAGTTCATGTTTTTCATAGTGCGTAACCTTGTATGTGGAATTTATACAAGATTCCCTTCAATACCCTATAAATAATTACATACTCATAGCTTCTAAGTTCTTTATGCGGAAAATACATTCACACTCAATTGCACAAACATCCTTGATCATATCTCATCTGGTGTTCGTTCACACCGCGTAGCTGAATACATTGGAGATGCGTCGATGTAAAGCAAATAAAGAGCCAGCCTGACACCGAGAAAATTGTGTCACAACACAAAGCAACTACAGAGCAAGAAGTTACTGACACACAGCTCTGCTGAGGCTGGGATCTGAGCTGGGTGAGAGCACAAGCTGTCCCATGGTTTTTTAGCGTATTTTTGACTCTCTCTCTTTTCAACCTTGAGCAAAAACACCCAGGGGTAGGAAGAACTGAACAGCGCTGATAAAATAAAACATTTCGTAATAACCAGAGCTGGCACGTAGCTGCCTAGCCAAAGACCTCCATAGCATCACAGGAAGGAAATCTGTCTATGAAATAGCAACAACACAACAGGATCTCAAATCGTCCACTGAGAACAAAGCATCCGTATATCTGAACCTATAAAAACAAACACGTCTCCGCAGCAAAGACATTATGATCTAGTTACAGCCAAGACAAAACTAGGAGGCACTAGAATAGTAGGAGGAAAGTAGGAGCGAAGACAAGGGTAAGAAAATGACTGTGCAGGCTTGTAACGTCAGCAGGATGTGCTGTTTTTCCTAAGACAGCAGCTAGAAGGCTCTGATATTTGACCTTACTTCCTCAGTACCTTTTCTTCTTTCATATCGTGGAGCAAGATGGTTTTAAGTCTGCTCTGTGTTAAAAAAAACAGCCAACCAACCAAAAAACCACACTTTTATCTTATTTTCCTTTTTATATACACATTGGTAAGATGGATCACAAGACCACAGCGAAGACTCATTAATAGACTCGCTTTCTCTTAAAATCAAAAGAGAAATTCTATTAGAATAAAGAAATTATCTTCTGAGCCCTCCATCTCCCCCTCAGCAAGAAGACACACGTGCATACGTTCTTGCACTTCCTCTCTTCGCCTTTTCCAAGTCTCACTCCTGCTGTGTCAGGACTTTTGCAAGACTAAGAGGAAAGCAAGGCTCTGGCAATTCCTCAGTGAGCTCTTCTTCAATCACCTGCTTCTCAGGAGAGGGGAAGAAAAAAAAAAAAAAAAAAAGAAAATCCACAGACACAAAGCTGAAAATCCTCTGAGCGGTCCAATGGCACAGTCCCTGAGAGAACTGCAATCTGGGACTGCAAAGATACCACTGAGCCCTGCCCTCTGCCTGGCCTGCTGCTTAGCCAAGCTCTTCTTCACCCAACTCCTCCTCTTCCTGGATCGGCAGTTACACTTCCAAACAGACCGCGGGCTAACGACAGGCCGAAAGTTCAGGGATGAATTTCCCATTCCCCTCAGTGCTTCTGCCAAATCTGTCTTTTCTCAAGGACTGTTTACTTTTAATAATGCTTATCTTCCCCTCCAGGGGTCAGGAGAACGAACTCATTATTATTCACACAGCTCTTCGCAGGCTGGAAAAATTAAATCAATACTATTAGAATAATTACTGACAGCAGAGAGGAAACAGCGTGGTTAAAGCAGACAAAGCAGACTAGAAAAGCAACAGTAACAGCAGTTCTCAAATACAGCCTCCTGCAGTAAATCTTTCCGCTGTTCCTTCTTCACCCTTGTAGCTAACATATGGCGGGTACACATCAAACCTCTGGGCAACTTCGCCCCTCACCTTTTGGCCTAGGGAGGCTTGTTTTTATTCCCTGATGGCACCCTACTTCACATAATTGGGTTCTGGATCATGAATGGGGGCTTGGGTTTGCTTTAGGCCCAGTAGAGGCAAACTTTGAGCCGGAGGCCTAAACTTCTGCCATACTGGTTCCAGGAGAGTCTCAGCACTCGTATCCATCATGCTGCCTCTACGCCGCCTCTCCAGGCTAGCTCTAGGCTAGAGAAAGCTCCCCTGTCTGGGGAAAGCATCACAGTCACTTTCTTTTTCAGAAAAATCTCTTCATGAGCTGTTTCTCATCCTGTGCGACTTAACAGGCAAATCCGTCGTGCACAATGGCTCTTGCCTTGGCACGTCAAAGCGTATTTAAAGCCTTTTATGACAATCAGGAAGACAAACGTGGAGCCTTAGGAAAGTTCCATGTACCTTTTTAGCAGAGAGAGAGCAAGGAGCCCACTGTCCTACTGTGAGACTGCTTTCTTTATCACAACCTAGACAGACAGGACTTTTCACCTCACCCCAAAGCAAAATCAGCTCTGTCAAGTACACCAAACCAGGGACGAAACAAGGTTCTTGATGAGAGAAGCTGCGGCAGTAGTTTGACGGGTGTTTAAACCAGCATTCTTGCTGCTTAAATAAAGCAAGTGCCAATTCTAGCCTGGGTGCTTGTTCTCACCACTTCACACACTTTTTTGGCTGTATTCCAAGAGGCCAAATACCACTGTCCTGTGGTAAAATGAATTGGGAACAAATCCTACTTCAAAAATACCCCTGCAGGAAATACTTTTTTGGAAGTATAACTTCCAATTTAAATAGAAAGCAAACTGCAGCTGAAGGTATCATACGCAGAACTACTTGTA